GTTCTATGGTTTGTATTAATTCGAATAGTTCATCAATTTCTTTATCCAGAAATTTAGTAATATAAAAAAATAATTTGAGCGAAGGTTTAGTAAGTTATATATAAAAATACCTTAAGTGAAGGTTCATAAGTAATTTGAGTAAAAAGTTTGAGTAAAGTTCAATAAGTAATTTGAGCGAAGGTTTAGTATGTTATATAAAAAAATACCTTAAGTGAAGGTTCAGTAAGTAATTTGAGCGAAAATAATATGAGCGAAGATTCAATAAATAATTTGAGCAAAATTTATAGAGCAAAGTTTATAAAAAATAATTTGAGCGAAGGTTATAAAAAATTATTTGAGCGAAGGTTATAAAAAATAATTTTAGCAAGGTTTAATAAGTAATTTTATCGAAGGTTCAGTAAGTAATTTGAGCGAAAAGCTTTATTATTACACTGCATTTTGTAATTAAATTTTGTTGATCTGCAAAATAAAAAATTTTTTACTTATTTTGTCAAATGGGAGTCTCTAAACACTCCCATTTCATTTTCCGATTTCAAAATTTTGATATACAAATAGATTTTTTAAACTCTTATTTATTTCCGAAATACGCTAATTTTTTTAATTCTGAAATCCTTATTAGGGTGATTCATACATAATTAACTTATTTCAAAATAAGTAGAGGTACAAAATATCCTATTTCTGGTTTGAAATAGGAGTTATCCGGAGATAAAATGTGTACCTTTTTTTATAATGTATTGTTATCCGACAAACTCATATGATCATGAAAAACTTTCTTTCTGTTATTTTTTCATGTGTTACGATGTTATTATGTTTTTCCAATATTCAAAAAAAAAAAAAACTCAGCGAGTGACTCCCTACCAATAATGATCATAAATTGTATTATTGGGCAAATTTGTGAATACGGCAATTTGGCTCAACCGGACAAATGATTGGCTGACACGTGCCGCTTCGTGGCACTTGTCAGCCAATAATTTGCCCGGTTGAGCCAAGTTGCCGTTATTCGCAAATTTTTGCCCAATAATGTATACTTAGTAAATGATACTATCGTAATAAATTATATTACATAATCATTTTCGAATTACGTACTGTAATAATATTTAATAAAATAATATGCCTCCTAAAAAACTTTTAAATAAACCACTAAATAAAAGAACATGTAAAAACTCAATTGTTTGCAACAGTGCATCGATTTCTTTATGAGAATATTAATCGTATTTTTATTGAGTGAGTATTATTAGAATATTTTCTGTTAGTATTTCTAAAATACTATTTACAGTATGTCTTTAATATGTAATAGAATGCCCACAAGTAAAAAAAAAAAAAAAAAAAAAAAAAAAAAAAAAAAAAAAAAATCATTGAATTTAGCCGAAGTTGCTCAGAAACATAAGGCATTTTAAAATATATATGTAAAAGATATCAAGTTTCGTAAATACATCACTAATTTAATTCGAAATCAGAAGCCTGATTCTTAATTCTGAATCACCCTATTACTGTTTACTGTATTACTGTGATCACACCCGAATCAGAAGTTTATCACTACGCAAAAATTTATCGAACCAGAGATATTCGGTCGGTCAAAGCTAATTTTATCACCGGCTATGCCTAAATTACTTTTTATTCATATAATTATTGTTTGGCAAAAATCATTTCCATGTTCAATATGTTTAAATATGGTTGATAGTGTAAAATTTTATTCGTCAATTTTAAAATAATTTATTTTTTCGCAAAAATAATATACCGAAAATTCTAACTTTAATAATAGTATCAATGTATAAAAAGGGTTGACATGCTATATTGTACGCATAATTCAAAATATATCTTACGTTAAATTTACCGAGTCAATAACCATGATTTTTTGGACTTCCCTAGTAATTATCGCTATCCTAATCATAGCATATCATAAAATAAACTCAAAGACCTCGGATTCTCTTAAAAATATTCACACAATTACGTTATTTAGCAGAATTTTTTTGATTATTACTAAACAATTAGGAAAAGACAAGCTATATTCCAAGTATAAAGAATATTTTGAAAGGGATGGAATTGTAAAGGTAAACTTTATCGACACACATATATAATTGTAAAATTCATCGATACGCATATATATAATTGTAAAATTTGTCGACACACATATATATCGTTTAAAATTTATCAACTAAATATGAGTTGTTTATATAGCAACGTGTTATGGGAAAGTGGATTTGCATAATATCTGATCCAGTGATGTTAAAAGATATTTTATTGAATCCAGGTACGCTTTTAATAATAATTAGTCTGAAATGTCATATTTACATAATGCCTAATCCAAAGTTTTTTAACAGATGTTTATCCTAAAATGAGCATCGAAAAAAAATATCCAAATACTCCACTTGCAGAATACCTTGGGACTAATGTGGCTTTCTCAACTGGTGATGTAAGTAATAATTAAATTTAAATTTATTCTTATTTTTATTTTGATAAATCTAACTATTATAACTTAACCTTTTTAGGTTTGGAAAAGGCACAGGTACACTTGCATCTCTTTCTTTTTTGTCATTACTAAGGCTGAGAATTTGTTAAAATTGAAATTTTGGCTTCGTCCAATATTATATATGACTTATAATTTTCAATTTAGTTAATTGTTTGGATTTGTATAATGAATCTTATTAAATATGTATCACTGTTTTCATATAATGCTTTAACTAAAATTGATCTATTTGTTGCTATAGTTATGTAAAATTTATTACAAATCTCAGCTTTAGCCAATTTCGGATTCAACCTCAGCAATTTTTTTTTTTTAATTTGCTAATGATACTAATTCTATTTAGACGTGTTTGCAATTCTGCATTCAAATCTTTGCCATTACATCTTTTTGCAGAAGCTGCATTAAAGATGATTAATATTTTAGAAACAATTGATAATAAACCAATAGAAATTACAAGTATGATGCAAAGGTAAAACATTATTCATTAATAATATTTTATAGTTTCTTTCTTTAAATCACTATTATAAAATCAATTTTTATAGATTTACTTTAGATTTGCTTGGAAAAGTTGTTTTTGGTTTTGATTTTAATGTAAGTGTTAATGAAACTTATTAATTATAGATAGCCTGTCAACTCTATATTCTAATAAATATTTATTTGCATTAGTGTCTAGAAAATCCAAATAATGTTTATGTAAAAGCATATCATGAGGTTCAAAATTCAGCATTGCATCCATTATCTTTTATTTTTCCAATTGATCGTATTCCAATAATAAAGCAACAAAGGCTTAAAAAAGTTGCTAAAATAAATGATTTATTTAATAATCTTATTAAAGAGAAACATAAAGATTTAGCTGCTGGAAAGTCTTATGGAGATCTTTTAGAACATATGTTAATTGCTAATGAAAATAGTGATAATCAAATGTTATCAGATAATGAACTAAGAGTAAGTTAAGAAAAATGTTTATTTTTTTATTTATTATTATAAATCAAATTTTAATTAGATATAACTTAAATAGTATAATATAGCTATTTTTATGCTTGCTGGTCATGAAACAAGTGAGTATATACTATTATTTTTATATTAAAAGATTTCTATAATTTTAATAATCTTAAAATATTTATTTAAAATTAGCTGCAATTGCTTTATCAACGGTGTTATATCTATTATCAACTCATAAAGTAAGATAAATATATATTATTATATTGCTATCATTGATTATTATTGATATTATTATATCTATTTTGAGCATTTATATATTTTTATATAGAATGTTCAAGAAAAAGCTCGAGAAGAAGTATTAAGAATACTTGGTGACAATTTAATACCATCAACTGAGGAACAAAAATCATTAAAATATTTAAATATGGTTATTTATGAAAATCTCAGGTTATATCCACCAGCAAGTATAAATTTATTCTTTATTGTAACTTAAACTGAATTATCAATAACTATAACATTTATAATTTTTTATTGCTACAATTAATAAATAAAGGCTCCAACTTTGGTACATCGTGAATTAATCGAAGATTTAAAATTTAAAAATTTTGTAATTCCAGCTGGTACACTTATTAGTCCATTTTTATACGGAATGCATCATTCACCAAAAATTTGGGATAATCCTGAAGAATTTTTACCCGAGAGATTTGAAAATAAATATGAAAATAGTGAAAATTCTTTTTGGGTACCTTTTGGTGGCGGAGCTAGAATGTTAGTTTGTTCTTTAATTGTTATTTTAATTGCATCATTTATGAATACAGTTATACATTATTTTAATGCTTATAATCTTTTATCAAAAATAATAGGTGCATAGGAAATAACTTTTCTCTTATTGAACAAAGAATTGTGTTATGTTTGTTATGTAAGTATTTCAATTATATTAATTATATATTTTTATGGATGTGCATAAATGAATACATATTAAAATAATATAATATTTTATAGTGCGCAAATATGAAATCTCATTAGCACCAAATAGTATACATAAAGATGGAATAAAAATTCAGATTCAAATGATGCCATATCCAATTGAACTTATATTTAAAAGAAGGGATCAATGAAAAACAGTCCACTTTTCTTGACTATACTGTATTACTAATTACTGTGAGGCTCTAGTGTGCCTGTTTTTCAATTTTCTTTTTATTTTATTTAATTGTTGGTTTACTATTTCTTGTTATTATTTTTTTTTTAGAAACATTCTCAACCTTCCATATTTAGGTTCAATTAATTTAAATCTACTTACATATTAAGTGGAATTCAATTTTTTTTTAATAAAATAAATTAGGACACTATCATAACTTATAAACTGTTCTAATTTTACAAAATTACTTTTTATCATTTACCCATTTTGTATTGCGAAAAATATATAGGAATAATATAAATTCATCTGCATATTTTGTTCGATATCAATATATTTCATGATAATCTAAGTTTATAAAGCCTTGCTAACTATAAAAATTTTCTATAAAATGCTAGTAAAATATTCTAACCAAAGTTGGAAACTGTTTTGAAATTTATGTTTTCATGTGAATAAATTTATAAATTTGATGTTCTCAGAAATTTATTTATATTCTCAACATTAAAATTTATTTATATCCTATTTTTAAATTTCTAAAAATATCGGTCATTTATTCAAATCTTTGTCCAACCCTACTCATCTTTTAAGTTTATTCATTTTCTTTTCGAATGATTTAGAACTACGTTCGGTTCTTAATTTTATTTCCATCTGGCATTATGCTATTATATTTATATTATACTTACATAAAGAACATATTTTCGAGTATTATGTTCTCAAATTTATTTTATAGAGAACATTTACAGAAAATCAAATGTTCTCAAATCTAAAGGTATGTCCTCATGAGAACATGAGAACACAAGACTTCCAACTAGAGATGGGAAAAATATGCATTAATGCGCACATTATATAAAATTCGCATGATATAGCATGATATATTTTTTTTGATTTTATATTTTCCCTCCGGAAAATATCGGATATTTGCCAAAATTTTTTCCTCTACCTTCTCGTCTTTATGTTCATTCATTTTCTTTTTGAAATTTTCAAAACCCCTACAT